GAAATGGAATTCAAAGTAAGTTGAACTGGACCAAAGTTTTTGTACTTCTCAATAAATAATGCTGACATTAATAACATTAAAAGAATGGCATAATTCAACACTTCGGTTGAATAAAGACTTATTGAACCCCCACATGTGCCAGACATTGTAACACGGACATAACTAGAAGAAAGAGCCGAAAGTAAAATGTTAATCCTCCATTCTAAATGATGTTTTTTTAAATAAAGACAAACATGATAAATACCAAGGAAGAAGACTGAGAAATACAAGGTATGACTATAACATAATAAAACACTCCAGAACTTATCAAAATGGTAATGTTCATCTTCAAAGCAGTCATCTTGGAGATGTAATTATTTCTATGATCTTGTCGTTGCTCAAAACACTTTGCTTGGGCATCATAATTATAAAATTGTATATCTTTGGGTCTTGAAGGACAGTCTTTTCAGCTAAGTAATGTGGTAACAAATTTTTGTCTTTAAGGATAAATATCCTTTGAAAATAGCCAAAATTAATTTGGATACACCAAAATGTTAACAGTAAATCTTTCTAGTGGGTGCAATTTCAGAGAACTCACTTTCTAAGTAAACATTTCTATACTTTACTTGCTTATAGTGACCCGTACAAAACAAAGCACTTTTAAAGTCATATGGAACCAACATTTAGGTGATCATCTAGAGTTTATAATTCCATTTAGAAATTGTTCTTGTGTGATTGATAAATTAACTTTTCAAGTAATTCAAAAAAAGGAGTTCTAAAAGTATACTGGTCAGAGACAGCCCTGTTGAATTACACAAATGTAGTCACTCCAAATAAACTTTGTTCAACTACAGGTCATCCCCGATTTATGATGTATTCAACTTATGATGAACTGCACTTACAACTGTCTGTTTTTTGTTTTGTACATCTTATCGCTAGTAATATATACTACATACAGCATTGCTGCGTGTAATTTGCTGATGTTATCATTCTCAGATGTTCACTCGCAGACGTTCCAAGATTGGGTTTATAAAGATAATAATAATAAAAGGAAATAAGGATGAAAACTTAAAAAAAAACTAATGAAGTATTCAACTTATGTCAAAACTGACTTACAATGGACTAGTTGGAAAAGAACCCCGTCATAAGTCGGGGACTACATGTACCACATTCATGTAGATAAAGCAGCTCTGGTGTGTTTTGCAAATTCAGTTTCATTGGTTTATAAACATTCCTTATATATCATGAGCACACAAAAACCTATATAAAAACAATATTTAGACTCAGCCTCTGTGAAAGACGTATGCTAAAACAATTTTACTCACCTACAGTGTGTGTTTAAAAGGGAGACAAGGAGACAAATCAGGGTGGAGGGGCAGGGATCTAATAGATTTAACTATAATTCTCTGCCAAAAGCATCCATAAATTGGGGATGATGGGAAAACTGGAAATTCACCATGACATTTTGTACTTCATAATCAAGAGCATTACTCCTAAGCCTAATTGCCTCCAAAGCCCACAAAAGAGCAAATGTTGTAGCTAGATTAGTGATTATGGAGGATGCCCTTCTAAAATGCCTCAAGGATAGGATAATCGTCGCCCCTCCCATTTCTGACTAGGGACGATATGAGTCTATGTACTTAAACCCAAGCATGGCTCCTGGATGAGAAAAAGTCTCAGCTCTTAAGGCACAGGCAATGGCTAGGTGGTTTTATTGTTTGTTTTCTGTTTTTTGTTTTATCTGGGCATTTCTCTCATGACATTTAAACCTTTGTTAAAAACCCAATAGCTCTCAAACACACCATCTTAACAGCAATTTATAATACCAGGGAGCTATAGATAAAGACATTTTAAAAATAATTTTAACAAATACTTATTTCCAGGTTTCTAATTCTAAAAAAAAGAGGACTTCAACTCAAAAATATTGAGTACAATTTAGAGGCATGTTGCTATTGTTGTTAGATGCCGTCAAGTCGATTTCAACTCACAGTGACCCCATGGGACAGAGCACAACTGCCCCATAGTGTTTTCATGGCTGGAACCTTAGTGAAAGCAGATCACTAGGGTTTTCTTCCCAGGAACCACTAGATGGGTTCGATCTGCCAACATTTCCATTAGCAGCCAAGTGCTTAAGTATTGCACCACCAGGATTCCTTATTTAGAGGCATAAACCATCTTAAATATAACATTGAGAATTTGAATTCTGCAGAAATATTACTGAGAACTACTAAAAAGCATTTCAATATATATAACAGTAATTAACTATCTTACTTTATCATCCAAAAACTTCTCATTTCTCTTATTTTAAAGACATAACCATAGATTTTGTTAGTATTATTTTTAAATGTTCTTCCCCACACAACAAAATTTATCTCAATACTACCACAATTCAGATTGCAAAGACCTTATAGCTGAAGACCACATATTTCTATTTAACCCTAGGAACAGTTGCTCATTAAATATATTTACTGACTACTATGTTTACGTATGAAAACCAGGCAAGGAGAAAGTGAAGAAGCATGCGATATGGGTTGGGCGGCAGGGAAAGGAACCCAAAGTTTTGCTTTTTGTGGCCTTTCTCCTGTCATTAACATTCTGTTTTCCTCTATCATATCTTCTTACTAACATCCTACTCCCAAAATGTTTTATTTGATATATTTGTAGCAAATATTTGCAGAGTTAGGTTAAAGATGTTCCTTTCAGTCATTGAAATTCAGATCTTGGAGTTAAGCAAGTACTGTAATTATAATAATCATTCAGATGATCAAGTTGATACAGACACTCAGGGATTTTGTTAGCTATCACAGGAGATAGAGTTTTACAACTCTGGCCAAGTGGAGAAACAACTCCAATGTGTATGAGTGTGTGTGTGTGTGTGTGTGTGTGTGTGTGTGTGTGTGTGTGTGCTTTAAACCATAATGCTCTAAATGTGAAGTAGTTTTTAAAATACCTCAACCTTGACATCAAAAAAAAAACCATACCCTCTCCTTTGATAGTCAGCCTTGTTGCTCCATTGATGCTGCCGTATTTAGGTATTGTCTCTGTGATTTTCGGTATTATTTTAGAGCCATCTGAAAGATATTAAAAGACAGCAGAGGTAAAATCATTAAGTACTTTATTTTAAGCATCAAATTTTATAGCAAATACTATAATTTTGTGAGAAAAATACCATAAAGATTATAGAACTGAAAGTAAATACATCCAGGTTTTATTTTTTTGCCTTACTACTAGTCAATGATTTGATAGGACTAGTTTATGCACTTAGTTAATACTCTCTTTGTGCAAAGCTCTGTCTTAGGCACTACAGAGCAGGAATAAGACATGCTTGTCATCACTCTTAGCTATCATATTGTAAAACATTAAACTCTTAACTTCATGTGGTACTCTACTAACTGCAGTTCATAATGATGTTTAACAACCCACATAGCAGCAAATAATGCCTTTATGGAGAAATTTGGTCATTATAAAAGCATATAAGAAATGCAATGCTAGGTAGGTTGAAAGAATAGTTCAGGTACAAAGAGGAATGTTGTATTTTAAAAAGAAACTGTTTACTGTGACATAGTGGTACTTCTGGAAAGAAAATTTCTTGGATCTTTCTAGCTTCCTGATAGCTGTGAGTTCTTAATTTAAAGTCACTAATTCACTCAACAAACTGTGTTACGTTCCTGGGAATATAAAAACGAGTCATGGCCCCAACTTTCCAAAAGCTTAGCCTAGATAGTAGAATAACAGAAGAGCAAGCACAGGGGCCATAGGTGACTCAGAAGGGACTTTTTACCCATGCTGCTTGGAGCATGTTGGCTCCTTGAGAGAAAGGGTGCCACTGCTACATCTTGGAGGCAAGTATTAATTAGACTGGACCAACAGTCCAAGAGATGAAGAGAGTTCTAGACAGACGATGCTGCCTATGCAAACAGGCATGAGCGAGCCAGCTTCTCTGGAGAGCTGCAAGCAACGTTTTAAAACAACTCACGTATACAGTGGCTAAAAAAGTTTATTATTTACTTAAACTGTACAGAACTAGTAATTATTAGTCATACCAATTCGCAAAGTAGGTGGAAAAATTTAAGTGGAAACTCAAAGAAAAGTCACATAAATCATTAATTGGTTTGAAATGGATGTACGAGAAAAGATTAAGGAAATTATGGTTACATAATTCATTCCTGCCTGAAGGGAGTTTAGTGTGGACTTCACTTATAACAGCAAAAGCTCCCCAACAAAAAGGAGACCACCGTCTCAGCCCTCGGACCCTCTCCCTCTGTACTTCCCGTCTGTATTTGCCAGAAGCTCCCAGTTTGTTCCTTCTGCGGGCGCATTTCTAACGCCTTAGCAGCCCACAGCCAAGAGTAGGAAACTCCAGAACAGAGTTGGATGCTGTCTCCAGACTCTGCTGCTCCTCAACCATCTCAGGTTCATCCTCCTCCCTTATTTCCACGGACAACTCCAATTTCTTATCTCATCAGTCTCTTCCCAGCTCTCTCCTGGGTATTAAGTTGAAGACACAGGGCAGCTGCCCTTGGAAGTGACTGACACGCACTACAAACACCCATGCTTGTTCTACAGGTAGATATTGATGCCCTCCGTTTAGTGGAGAAAGAGGATCAAGAAGTGTGGGGGAAGGAGAACTCAAGCTGCATGCCCCCGCCGAATTTCAGTCTTCTTTCAACTGAGTCATTTGGAAGGAAAAGTTTAATAATTCAAGCAGCAATACTGATGAGTTAAAACAGCACTCTCTTTCTCACCCTCTCTCTCTCCCTCTCAGTGCTGCCTTCTAGATCCCCAGGTCCCCAGGATTGCCATGCAGCCTCACCCGCGGCCTCGGCCCAGGGCAGGCACCAGGTGGTCCCGGGGGCAGGGAGGTATCTAGGCCGTCCTCGCCTGCTTGTCCCCTGGAGCCCCGGCCGGACAGGTTACCTGTGCGGGGCTCCGCGGCACACAGGAGCAGCCCCCAGAGGCCCCAGGCCCCCAAGAGCCACAGGGGTCCCATTGCGACGCTGGTCGCGCCAAGCCCACGCAGCTGCTCGCAGCCGCCGTCAGCGCTCGGGCTCAGCTGCGGGATGGCGACTCGCTCCAGCGCCCGACTTGTCTCACGTGCGCAGGCGAACTTGGTCACCAAAGACCCGCCCCGCCCCGCCCCGGCTCTTGGGCGCGCGTTTGGGATTTGCATTCTCCCTCCCCGCTTGAGGATTCACAGAGAACAGAGCTGGCTGCGGGCCAGTCTATAATCATCCAGTCTCAGCGCTCAAACCTAGGTACTGGCATCCAGGCCGCCCCCTAGGATCAACGGCCCCACTCCTTTTGGTAGGGGGGATCAATGGTCAAGTTAATTTCTCTATAGATCTTGCTTTTTCCTATGTACTTTCATTTGCTTGTCTGCCTTGGTTATCAATCACCTTCAGATGGGCCTATAAATCCACCTAATACACAAACCCCACGTTTCCTATTTCAGTCATATAAGTTTGTGCTACCGCTTTAACTGACAGTTACACTATTATTTATTGATCTCTTGGCACATACCAAACAGTAAGCCCAGTACTTTAAGGATGTCAACTCACAATATTCCAAAAAGGACCATTAGTATTACCCCATTGTACCAAGCCCGGAGAGGTCAGTCAAGTAACTTGTCCATGGCCAAACACTGAGGATTCAAATAGACTCCACAGCAAGTGCTCTTATCCCCTCCAGAAAACAAAACCAAACCCACTGCCATCAAGTTGATTCAGACGCTGGCCACCCTATAGGACAGAACAGAACTTCACAGTAGGGTTTCCAAGGCTGTAATCTTTATGGAAGCTGACTGCCACATCTTTCTCCCAGGAAGCAGCCGGTGAGCTTGAACCATCAACCTTGAGATTATCAGCTGAGTTCTTATCCACTGCACCACCAGGGCTCCTTCTTATCCTCTCCACTGCCTTTCAATTCAATGGAATTCTGGTGAAGTTTCCCCAGCATCTGTCATTTTGTCGTACTGTGGTGGCTGGCATGTTGCTGTGATGCTGGAAGCTATGCCACTGGTATTCAAATCCCAGCAGGGTGACCTATGGTGGACAGGTTTCAGCGGAGCTTCCAGACTAAGACAGACTAGGAAGAAGGACCTGGTGGTCTACTTCTGAAAAAATTAGCCAGTGAAAACCTTATTATTAGCAGCGGAACATTGTCTGATAAAGTACCAGAAGCCGAGTCCCTCAGGTTGGAAGGTACTCAAACTACAGCTAGGGAAGAGCTGCCTCCTCAAAGTAGAGTCGACCTTAATGATGTGGATGGAGTCAGACTTTCGGGACCCTCATTTGCTTCATTCAATGGATGGTGCATGACTCAAAATGAGAAGAAACAGCTGCAAACATCCATTAATAATCAGAACGTGGAATGTACGAAGCATGAATCTAGGAAAATTGGAAATTGTCAAAAATGAAAAGGAATGCATAAACATCAATATCCTAGGCATTAGTGAACTGAAATGGACTGGTATTGGCCATTTTGAATTGGACGATCATATGGTCTACTACGCTGGGAATGACAACTTGAAGAGGAATGGTGTTGCATTCATTGTCAAAAAGAACATTCCAAGATCGATCCTGAAGTACAACGCTGTCAGTGTTAGGATACTATCCATACGCCTACAAGGAAGACCAGTTAAGACAACTATTATTCAAATTAGACACCAACCACTAAGGCCAAAGCTGAAGAAACTGAAGATTTTTAGTAACTTCTGCAATCTGAAATTGATCGAACATGCAGTCAGGATGCATTGATAATTACTGGTGATTGGAATGTGAAAGTTGGAAACAAAGAAGAAGTATCAGTAGTTGGAAAATATGGCCTTGGTGATAGAAACGATGCCAGAGACTGCATGACAGAATTTTGCAAGACCAAGGACTTCTTCATTGCAAATACCCTTTTTCACCAACACAAACAGTGACTATACACGTGGACCTCACCAGATGGAATACACAGGAATCAAATCAACTACATCTGTGGAAAGAGATGTAGGAAAAGCTCAATATCATCAGTCAGAACAAGGCCAGGGGCCGACTGTGGAACAGACCATCAATTGTTCACATGCAAGCTCAAATTGAAGCTGAAGAAAATAAGATCAAGTCCACGAGAGCCAAAGTACAACGTTGAGTATATTCCACCTGAATTTAGAGACCATCTTAAGAATAGATTTAACACAATGAACACTAATGACCAAAGACAAGACAAGTTGTGGAATGACATCAAGAACATCATACATGAAGAAAGAAAAAGGTCATTAAAAAGACAGGAAATAAAGAAAAGACCAAAATGGATGTCCGAAGAGACTCTGAAACTTGCTCTTGAACATCAAGTAGCTAAAGTGAAAGGAAGAAATGATGAAGTAAAAGAACTGAACAGAAGATTTCTAAAAGCAGCTTGAGAAGACACAGTAAAGTATTATAATGACATGTGCAAAGACTCAGAGTTAGAGAACCAAAACGGAAGAACATGCTTGGCATTTCTCAAGCTGACAGAACTGAAGGAAAAATTCAGGCCTCGAGTTGCAATATTGAAGGATTCTACAGGGAAAATATTAATCCAGGAAGCATCAAAAGAAGATGGAAGGAGTACACAGAGTCACTCTACAAAAAAGAAATGGTTGACGTTCAACCATTTCAGGAGGTAGCATATGATCAGGAACCTATGGTACTGAAAGAAGTCCAAGCTGCACTGAAGGCATTGGTGAAAAACAAGGCTCCAGGAATTGACAGAAATACAAACTGAGATGTTTCAACAAGCAGATGTAGTGCTGGAAGTGCTCACTCCTCTAAGCCAAGAAATTTGGAAGACAGCTGCTTGGCCAGCCGACTGGAAGAGATTCATATTTATGCCTATTTCCAAGAAAGGTGATCCAACTGAATGCGGAAATTATCGAACAATATTAATATCACACGCAAGTAAAATTTTGCTGTGCAGCTGCAGCAGTACATCGACAGGGAAGTGCCAGACATTCAAGCTGGGTTCAGAAGAGGATGGGGAATGAGGGATATCATTGCTGATGTCAGATGCATCCTGGCTGTAATCAGAGAATATCAGAAAGATGTTTACCTGTGTTTTATTGACTGTGCAAAGGCATTCAACTGTGTGGATCATAACAAATTATGGATAACATTACAAAGAATGGGAATTCCAGAACACTTTATTGTGCTCATGAGGAACCTGTACATAGATCAAGAGGCAGTGGTTTGAACAGAACAAGGGGATACACGTGGTTTAAAGTCAGGAAAGGTGTGTGTCAGGGTTGTATCCTTTCATCATACCTATTCAATCTGTATGCTGAGCAAATAATCAGAGAAGCTGGACTATATGAAGAAGAACGGAGCATCAGGATTGGAGGTAGACTCATTAACAACCTGTGTTATACAGATGACACAACCTTGTTTGTTGAAAGTAAAGATGACTTGAAGCACTTACTGATGAAAATCAAAGACTACAGCCTTCAGTATGGATTATACCTCAACATAAATAAAACAAAAATCCTCACAACTGGACCAATAAGCAACATCATGATAAATGGAGAAAACATTGAAGTTGTCAAGGATTTTATTTTACTGGATCCACAATCAACACCCATGGAAGCGGCAGTCAAAAAATCAAAAAAAAGCATTGCATTGAGCAAATCTGCTGCAAAAGAACTCTTTAAAGTGTTAAAAAGCAAAGAAGTCACCTTGAAGACCAATGTGTACCTGACCCAAGCCATGGTGTTTTCAGTTGCCTCATATGCACGTGAAAGCTGGACAATGAATAAGGAAGACCAAAGAAGAATTGATGCCTTTGAATTATGTTGTTGGGGAATAATATTGAATATACCCTGTACTGCCAAAAAAAGGAACAATTTATCTCAGAAGAAGTATAGCCAGAATGCTCCTTAGAAGCAAGGATGGCGAGACTGCGTCTCACATACTTTGGACATGTTATCAGGAGGAATAAGTCCCTGGAGAAGAACATCATGTTTGGTGAAGTAGAGGGTCAGAGAAAAAGAGGAAGACTCTCAGCGAGATGAATTGACTGACATAGTGGCTGCAACAATGGACTCAAGCATAGCAATGATTGTGAGGATGGCACAGGACTGAGGAGTGTTTCGTTCTGTTGTGCATAGGGTCGCTATGGGTCGGAATCTACTCAATGGCACCTAACAACAACACAACAACATGATCCTTTCTGATAGGGTCACTGAAATCGACTTGACGATACACAACATCACCACAACATGATCCTTTCCACTCTTCTGTATGTGTGAAAATTTTCATAAGTAAAAAGTTTTAAATTTTCCTTGTTCACTCTTCCACTTTTCTTTTTTCTTCTCTTTCAGGAAGAAGTAGTATTCCTCCATGAAATGACTGATTACCCACGTGAGCTCTTCATTCTCCAGGTATTGCTCTATCTTTCTTCTTATCACACTTGTAATTAATTCCCTCTCCTCCTTTCCCCTAGATGGAAATCCTTTGTTAAAAACTAAAAACAAACCAAAAAAACATTTATCATCTTTTCTATTAAGGCTAAGTCTCAAATTTATTTGTTATTAAATTTCTTGAAAGATCTGTCTATGTTAGTAAACTCCATGTCCAAAGTCACTACCCACCCACTCACCCATCCATACAGGGCCATCTGCATTCCTAGCTCTGTGCTAAGTACTTGCTGGCAGTTGGGGAGGGGTAGAGGCTGGAAGTAGGGATGACAGATAAAAGCAGGCTACTCAGCTAAATTTGATTTTTCAGATAAACAATAAATTGTTTTTTGGTTTAAGTATGTCTCATGCAATATTTAGGGCCTAACCACCCCCTACCTTCCACCCTCCACCTCCCCCCAGGAAAAAAAGAGTTACCATTGAGTCAATTCTGACTCGTAGCGACCCTATAGGTCAGAGTAGAACTGCCCCATAGGGTTTCCAAAGAGTGGCTGGTGGATTTGAACTGCCAGCCTCTTGGTTAGTAGCTGTAGCTCTTAACCACTGCGCCACCAGGGCTTCATTTAGGGCCTACTTAAAAAATTATTTGCTGTTTACCTGAAATTCAA